GAGGAGTTGAAACCAAACTCATCCGCTCTAACTCCTCATCTTAACGATGACTTTGGAGCCAGACTGACGGCTGCGTCCAGGGGAGAGCGGGTATGGTGGGACCGATGCTGTTGTTTCACGCCTCACATCTGACTGTGGAAGGCCGGCGTGCTTTCTGAAAGTCCCACACTGACACGTTGTATGTTTGGTTCAGAATAAACAAGAAAAGCCTGCAGGACGAGATGTCTGCTAAACAACAACACAGCATTGGTTTAAATCAGTGTGACGCTCTTCGTCTGAAATACAGTATTTGATGTGTGAAAGACATTTGCATTTATATTTTCATTGTTTTAATAGGCTCGCAATAAAAATGAAAGTCTACGTCACCCAACATAATAATAACACATTATTACTCTCATTGTTTACTTATGTTTCGATCCAGCGTGGAGCCAGGAAATCTCCAGACATCTGAATCACTGCCCAAACGTTTGGTGAGATACCCAGGTCCCAATCAGAGGAGACATGTTGACGCAAAACTGAGTCTTGTGACCTTCCACTTAGTTCTTATACCGTGTGGTGGTCAGCTGAGCGAGGTAAAATAAATATGACTTCAAATAATGAAGAGATTAAATTAAGCTAACGAGGACCATGATTCAGAGCAAAGGTTACTGACTATATATACAGATTAGACTCTCTCTCTCTCTCTCACTCTCTCTCTCTCTCACTCTCACTCTCTCTCTCTCTCTCACTCTCACTCTCACTCTCACTCTCACTCTCTCTCTGAGGTCCACACTGTCACAGGTTTAACAGAAAACAGAAAGCGTGACGCTGTGGGAGACATTGAAGGTGAATATTTGACAGCTGCATGTGACTGAGTCTCATTCAATCACAGGACTGTTGAACCGTCACGCCAACAGGACAACACATGACGAGACTCATGACTAGAGGTGGTCATCAGCCGCCATCTCTTATTCAAACAGACAACGATGTTACTTTGGTCTGTAGGGAATTATGACAAGGATGTTTCACACATGTTTGAGAAAACGACCAATCAATGAATTGATAAAATACTAAATAATAAATGTATTGATGATGACAATGATTGAACTCGTGCCAAGTGCAGTTAGTCTTAAGACACCTGCTCCAGAAGTGTAAATTGTAAAGTGTAAAGAAAATAGAAAGACCTGTGATCTGTGTCCACCAACACTTGGATCAGTCGGTCTCCTGAATACGAACCCCGTCGGTGTCATGAGAGGATTTAAACATCAAACCAAATACCAGAGTCACAGTAGGAATCCCAGCTGAGGGATAATTTTAGGTTGTTAGGGGTCACAGCAGAGACACGGACAGGAAACTGTCTCACAGGCACCACAGCTTAATAAAGCTACAGCAGTTTAGACTGAGGACAACATATGAGATTAATGACACTGTATTAAAAATACTTTTTTAGGGTATGTACATATATATGAGTTTTATTTCATCTGCTTTCTGCCTCGTTGACGTGGAAAGTCTTTAAGCACTGTTAGAAGCACCATATGAATAAAATGCATAGTTACAGACTCAGTCATCGATCAAGTAATCAAATGATAAATTGTTAATGACAGTAAGTGTGAGCTGCAGCCCTGCTCCTCAGCAGTGAACCACGTTAACCTTCCAGTGAGATAATCTCCCCTCTGACCCACTACGGTTATCCAGGTGTAACCTGATTTGATGTGACCGGATTTTAAATGAGCCACTGATGCCCGCTTGTAACAGAGCTCATACTAATGACATCATCCACCATCACACGGTTCGCTCAACCCTGACTCACACCAGCTGACTCACACAAATACTCTGCTTTGGTCAAATGTTTCTTTAGGCACCAACATTAAAATGACTGGTGTGATTTAATGTGTTCACATAACAAGCTGGAAAAGGAAGCTTCTTATCATATGAATCCAAATGTAAATACAACACCTTATTTCAAGTGAGTCGATTCACATGCACCATTTTTCTTCCAGGAAACACACACACACACACACACACACACACACACACACACCATGTTTAGATTCCCTGCTGAGATGCTTCTCATCAACTTGGACCTCAAACATTCATGAGGACATCAACTCGTCGGTCCCTCGCTCCAGACTGAATCCAGGTTAATGTCCTGGTGTCTTCTCACAACAACACACAAGAACCCACAGGAGCTCTGGATGTGAGTCCGCCTGCCCTCACCCTGATCACCGCAGAGCTCTGTGGGTCGTGACGGAACGAGAACATACCGGTAGGCTCGAGAATCAAAGCGGATAATCTCTCACACACACACTCTCACACACACACACACACACAC